GAGAGGGGGGGGGGGGCAGAAAGACAGACAGAGTAAGACAGACAGACAGACAGACAGACAGACAGACAGACAGACAGACAGACAGACAGACAGACAGACAGACAGACAGACAGACAGACAGACAGACAGACAAAGTGAGAGAGACACAGAGACCTAGAGACAGAGACAGAGAGAATATTTGCAGAGCGGGGTTGTTTCAGCATGTAAAAGATACAATTATTAATGTCCTGTCTTGTTTTGTGTATGCATGAGAGCACCTAATCTTTGTAACATCCACTGCCATTGTAAACGACCAAGACACATATTTTGTTACTAACAGATGAATAAAGATTGTCAATGCGATCGTTTTTGTCGTTGATACGACCAGTAACGTTTAGTTGCTTTGTCTGTCTTTGAGGTTGTTTTTTTACGGCACACTGGTGTCTTGTGGTGTAGCGGTTAGGCGCTTCGTTGAAACACACACGGGAGACCCTAGTTCGATTCTCGAGTGGGGAGAACATGTTTTTTAAAAGCAAGTATCTTGGTCTTTCTCCTGCGACATATTATTATCCCTCTCAGCCCACCTCCTGAATGGTTTAATTTTTGTCGATGGGCGAGTAAAAAAACCTACATTAAAAAAAAAAACCTTTACTGTACGTGTACACTTTCGACACTATAAGTCGTCCAAGTGTGTGCCTGGCTGAGTGCAAAACATGGGACCTAACATAGTTGCAAGCGCCGTAAAATTCTTACTGAACCAAAATTAGTGCAAAACAATATTCCAGCTCATAGAGAAGGGAGATTTTGAAAAAAACAACAACAGGTTTTACAAAGCCAGGATCAAACTCACGTCTGTTTCGTACAACGATGAAAAATTGTATATAGGCCTGTAATCATGCTCTAGACCCTGAAACCTACTAAGACACACCATGTTTACGCATGTGTTAACAGAGTACATGTTGATGTAAGAAAAGTTTCTGATTAGTCGCATTAGATGTATGCAAAAGGCTAGACTAAGCTCGTAAATAAGTGATGTTTTACGGTATAGGGGCGATGGATGATCTCTTGAAATTGAGAAATAAAGATTCGTTGCGGGGAGAAAAATGTGTGAAGCCACATTAGTGTGCTTGTGTGTGAGGGTGTTGTGTGTGGGTGTGGGGTGAGGGGGGGGGGGGGGGGGTTCGCCTTGCAAGCTGAGTCCGCTCGGCTGAATTCGTGGAATCCAAAAAAACAAAACAAAAACACCCCCCCCCCCCTTCCCAGCTTAGGGGATCTGTCTCCTTTCGGTGAATCCAAGTTTTTGTTTAATCCGAGTTCGTTGAATCCGAGTTCCACTGCACACCACAGACGGCACTGAACAAGGGTACATTATTTGAAAGAAGACACCGACGTTACACTACGCTACTAGACTCGGAATTGGTCGCTTTTAAGCACAAGGGGGCTATCCCGAAAAATACTGTTTAGAGAAAATCGAAGGTAAAGTTTTTGCCCCTTATTGAGTTTCTTTTTTTCTAAGGAGAGTTTTATCTATAACTATAAAAAAAAATATGCACACCAATGAAACCAAACTTCTCCTATAGGAAGGGCAATGCCAGTTTTTGGTCAAGAATTCTTGAAACCCCCGAATCTGGGTTAGCCAGCGTGTAATTAAATGCGACCAATTGTAAGATTATGGGTTCGGGGTTTGGGCCTCAGCCTGGTCCGGCTGTGCCTCTTTGGGAAAGGCACTTTATATGAATTATCCTATTCGACTCGGTCCTGTCGTTGGTAAAAGTTAAAT